AAAGTTCAGTTCAATACACGGTTCAAATGTTTTACATTAATCTTTTAAATAAATTCACCTTCAGAACTGTTATGTAGAACAGTAAAGGAGCATGTCACAGATTAAATGTTGGGAAATACACGCACAAGAAAAGAATTGCTTGAAAATTATTGGCTGAGCTACAGCGAACCCTATTACTCCAGTGATGGTCAAAACGTTTCGCGTCTGTTTTTTGTTTGTTTGTCTGTCTCTCTGTCTGTTCGCACGATACTGTACTGATTTTGAGCCCTCTTGCTTAAAAATTGACCTGTCAAAAAAATCACAAGGGAAAAACCTAAAATATTAATTTGTCAAAATATTGCTTTTATCAGCCTTCTAAGAGGTAACTCGTCAAAGTAGAGCCCGTACGACCAAAATTTTGCCCATTTGACTCTATCTTTAACCGTTTAGCCGCCAGAGGGCGATTTCCACACGAGAACGACCCTAAATCAGTTTAATGTTGTTTCTCAGATATTTGATGGTCTGTAATGGGGCAACTCGTCCAAATAAAATCCTGGGGGTAAAATTTGTGTCGTGAGATATCGCGAAGCCTTTTACGCAAGACGTGGTCTGGCGTACATCTACCTAGTTTATTATTCAAGGCATGCTACAGAGGACACGGTAGTAATTGAAGGCTTGAGCGCCATGATGTAGAAGGTGGAACCCACGTGGTTCGTCCTTTGAAATACTAGCTATATGAACGCCAGACCACGGCTCGCGTAACAGGCTTCGCGATATATCACGAAACACTGTTACGCTGCGACGCGCCTGACGCACATATAGCTAGGCCTGCGGAGCTGACACCCGAGGCGAGTTAAGGACAGGGTATGGGGGAACAGAGCCCTAATTTGACATACTCGAACCATTTGTCGGGGTCTGATTACCCTCAAATTAGGGACAGGAAACTACTTCTGGTCAATAAAGGTTTTCGTTAAAAGTTCGAATTTTGACAGATTGTTGTGTTAAGATCAATGTTTTAGTGATACTATATAATTTCGGGACCCTTAATCCCAAAAGAGGGTGTGGTACGACCCCTAATGTGTAGTTTAGGTATTACTCTCCTAAAAATCCTGTGACATGAAGCCCTTTTTACGATTTAACACACCCTTTTGTCTTTTTAGCCGCCCTTCTGCTTCGAAAAAGCTATTCAGCGGGCTTATGCAAACGACCTCGTGTGTGTGTGTCTGTCTGT